TTAAGGAGTGGACTACGATGAGACATTCTCCCCGGTAGTGAGAATGATCTTAATTCGCCTAATCTTAGCAATCGTCGCACATGTAGACCTGAAACTCTTCCAAATGGGTGTGAAGATTGCTTTTTTGAAATGAAAGAGATTTATATGGAGCAACCTAAAGGTTTTGTATCCCTTGATATTGAGCGCAAAGTGTGTAAGCTCAAAAAGTTCATATGTAGTTTCAAACAGTCATCAAGATAGTGGTATATAAAATTCTATAAGGCTATAATGACTTATGGTTTCGAAATGCTTTAAGAAGACCACTGTGCGTACATTAAGAAATATAAGAAAAGCATTCAAATACTGTATTTGTATGTTGACGATATCTTATTAATTGGGAATGACCTGGAGCAACTTGTCTCCATGAAAGAGTGACTGTCCTCCAAATTTGAGATGAAGGACATAGGTGAGGCAAGTTACATACTTGGTGTTAAGATACATCGTGATCGCGTTCAAATAATTATGCTATGTCACAAGAAACATATATCTAGTGGATTCTTGAGCGATTCCGTATGCAATACTCGAAACCTATAAATACTCCAATTGAGAAAAGGCATACTAATAGTCTCGACATGTGTCTGCAGACAGAAACTGAGAGGAACAAAATGTCGTGTATTCCATATGCAAATGTGGTTAGTAGTTTGATGTACGTGATGCTTGGTACACGTATGGATATTGCCTATGCAGTGGGCCTCATTAGTCAGTATCAAAGTAATCCAAGACAACGTCATTGTCAAGCAATGAAGAGGATTTTTTGATACCTTCACGGAACCTCGAGTCAGATGTTGTGTTTTTAGGGAACCGATTTCTAATTTCGGGGATATAGTTACATTGATTGGCCTATAGACTTAGATGAGTGCAGATTATATTTTCTTGCTAGGAGGTGGTGCAGTCTCATGGTGTAGCAATAAATAATCGTGTATCACTCTCTCTACTAGGGAGTTTGAATACATTGCTTGTAGTGAAGCAGTAAAAAAAGACGTATGGTTGAGAAGATTCATAAAGAACCTGGGTGTTGCCGTAATTAGTAATGAGCATATCATTGTATTTTGTGATAATACAACAACATTTGCTTTTGTAAAATACCCAAAGTATCATGGAAAGTCGAAATTATATTCGAGACATTGTTGCATATGAGAAGGTGGTGTTAACTCATATTCCTACAACTGAAATAGTGGCATATCTATTTTGATTTTAAGGCAATTGTCAGGGCCGCTCATTAGACTCATGTAATAACTATGGGCCTCAGAGCCCTATGAGTTTATGTTATACTATTATATTGGAATATATATGTTATTTTGTGTTATGATGGATGGTTTGTACACTTTAATGCACACAAGCGCACAATAATGTGAAATCATCATTTAATTTGTCCATAGGTTAAAGCTCACTACTCGCACGAGCTACCTCAATATTTGGGATATTAGAGGATGAGATATACACATGGTGTATTTATCACATCGACCAAGAGTTCGAGATGAGATTACATAAGGGAATTTATATGATTAATTCAAATTGACGTCCCAAAGATATGCAGAGTGTAAGTTAAGGATGAACATCAGGGATGTTTAGGTTGACACATGGATATGACTGTAGGGCGCTAGGTGGCGACCGATTGCATGGCTAAGAAAAATACTAACATGCATGGTGTGGATTCCGATGCATATTTGATTTGATCCACCATGAAGTGTGATTCATACCACATGTGCTATATTAGTAACTAATACACCTACTCGTGTGGAAATAGATGATCTATGTTCATTTTTTCCACTGTGCATGACTAATAAGTAGGTGACCCATGATGCCCTCGTAAACCTTAAACTGCATTATGAAACTCTGTTTCAAATATTCACTTTGGCATATACTCCTTAGGGTTAAGTATATGGCTCGTCTGGGACATTGTCGAGACAATGGTCAGGTCAGAGTAAAATAATATTTGTTGTAAGGGAAGAGCATTTGTTATCATACTCTATTTTAGTACCACAAAAAAACAATACACATTTCGTACACATTGAAAGTGATTGTATACAAATGGGCTTAAGTAATATTTTGAGCTGGGTTCATGAGGGATTAATTGATAACTTAGTCTGGTGTGGTCAAATTGGGTCTAGGGCAGGTAGAGCAGTTTTTTGTTTTGTAGAAACTGAAGAGATGAGATGTTCTATGCCAGTTGGTTGGAAAGTTGATATGATTATCTCTAATAGAATGTTTGCTCAAGTAGGTTTCACACCGCATTTTCCCTTTGTATGAAATAACACACACGATGTGATAATGAACGACAACTCTTATTTGGACATGTAACCCCTCAAACATACGGGACGAGTAAAAGATGTAGACATGATATTACATCCCTAGTGTGAGGGTACACACAAGTGGATCATACTTCCTTCATATTTGACTTACGTTACTGCATGAAGGGAGGTGGGAAGAAGTTGCACCTCATCATGAGCGGGTTATCATCCCATAAATGACATGCACCATGTACCTAAAGGGTGTCCATTCACGAGGAGGTTACTCCCACATAAATGAGATGTCCCTTTCTCTCATTATAAAAAAGGGTCGGGTAGAGGTCTTTATATACCACAACAATACACAAGAAAAAGTGCGAGAGCTCATCTTGAGAGAGAGAAAAAGTGATAGATAGAGAGTAAAATCCATCTCCATTAGAGCTCTAAGAAGAGGCTCAACCGTAAGAGATATAATTGTGCGTGGGAGTCAAGCTTGGACTGCTCCTCATACCACATTTGTAAGAGTATTCGTGAGCTTCCATCTTGCTCGGGATTTGTGGTGGAACAAATTTCGGTAGCTCTATACTAATTGTCGAACGTGTCTATATGAGTTGATCATTCATCTCCCAATTCATTCACCAAAACTGTTTTATGAGCACTCGAGTATGATACTCAATTCCTAGTTGGTTATTTTGCTTATGCTTCGGCCATTGGACCGTATTATTCCAACAAAACAATATCAATACTCGTTGGTTGTTAGGCTAGCACACATTCAATCTAAAGCTAGGAAGGGGCTCAAGGCATTATAGTTAAGATGGAGGGTATCACAATACAGTTATATTCCCTATCATCGGTAGGAGACCCCTTCCCCATTCAACTACCCAAAGAGAAAAACATTAAATCTAAACTATTGAGCTTCTACTATTCCATCGGCTAGCGGGCCAACAAAATTCATTTATTTTCACATGTGTAGAGAGAGAGAGAGAAAGAGAGAGAGAGAGAGATCAATTTGAACAATGTTGTGATAAAGAAAGTGAAATGAGTATACAAATGTCTCTACTGCATGATGCAACTCACAAGAAGCTATAGATTTGTTTGTTGAAAAATGAATACTTTGGGCCAAAGTCAAGCTAAATTGCATCACTGCACACTGCAAAATGGACAACTATGTTGCCTGTTGTATTGCTTTCTTCTATAAACAAAGTTGCTTAAGGTCGGTATAATATTCCAGCATTTCGATTACAAACAATTTGCTAGCACCTCGTCATCCATCCAATTTCAACAAGTGGACAGTTGGGCTGGGTCGCTAGAAGAATGGCACATCTTGACCATCCATTGTTTGCATGTAGCAAACTTTTTGAAACCCATCTAACATGGGATCTTATTTAGTGCCCAGATGAAAGATGTTCTATCCATCAAAGAGACACATCATTAGTATGCAAATAATGATTTTGTATCATATTTTTATATAAGTTATTACTGCTTGGAAGCCACTACGCAATGCTTATGGATGAAAATAAACAGTGGTTTCGTCCATAGGCTTGGTGCTGTTTGATTTTTTCGAACGGCATAGATTAAAAGATTGCACCGGCTCTACTATGTCCATTGCATGCAATCTATTTTTCACGCAAAAACACAAGAAACCATTGCGACTTTTTAGAAAACACCGCGACAGCTCTATAAGAGTCGTTGCGGGATAAAAACACTTTCGCGTATAAGTATTTTTAAGAGTTTTCCTTGGTGCTTCAATATATTAAGAACAAGCACTATTTTGGCATACCTCAAGTGCGTGCTACGTCTTACCCAAAAAAAGAGCATGGTGTACTCATCTTTGTCATATGTTCTACTACTTGAGTCCTACTGGTAGACAACTATCACTTATGCCGGAGTAGAAATGAAGAGTATAACAAGCTCACGCGCAGTAGAAAGCCGTCTCCATCAGGGCACACGTGTCATTTACAAAATCTAAAGTGATTGTGAAATGATTTCATACTCCTATGGGAGCGTATATTGTCCATTTACTTCCCAGGGCAAAAGTATATTTTTTTGGATCCTAAAGTTTTGGAGAATCTCTAGAATGCAGGGACCGACATCAAAGAGAAAATAACAATTTCCATACTCTATGTGTTTAGATAAAGTAATGTCTCAAGATTGAACAAGAATCGTTTAATTTTTAAAAAAGGTGCGGATTACATAAGGATGAGGGCCTAAACAATCAAAATAATGTGCACCCTCAAATAGTGTCGAAATATATTGTTTATATATTGGAAATATTTGTTATAGCTCAAAAATTTATTTTCATATCTAATTATAAAATTTTAAGCTTAAAAAATGATGTTGATCAGGAAAATCTACAAACACTTAAAAATATTGAAGATCAACGGTCTAGAAAATATATTGCAAGATACACTACTTCCAAGACTTGAAATCATATCATAGAACTTGAGGTCGAGATAACCGATTTGAGATTTATTGAGCATTGAAACAACCTCTTCTAGTAAATTTTCGAGATACGCCTTAATTTGATTGTTTAGGGCCTCACCCTTATATAAACTTATTTATTATTAAAAAAAATGTGGTGACACTTTGATCACAAAATCATGATGAAAATAATTATATTTTACCCTTGGGAGTAGTTGTAAAATATGATCCTGCGGGTGCATATTGGTTTTTATCTTCTCCTTCAATAAATAGCGAGTCCACCTATTATTAATGTTGTTCTATTTGTTTATCCCCATTTTCCTTTCTGTTAAACCCTACCTCTGAATTTCGCAGATAACCCTAATTGTGCACAGATTCATCCATCTGGTGCATGAGCTTCTTCGTTACTTAAGTGGGGTTTTTGTGGTCTGATTTAGCAGAGACCCTATAATTCTAGCAGAGATTCATCCATCTATGGCATGAGCTTCTCCTTTCCCATAACAGAGGTTCTGAAAAATCATTTGATCCATTCGTTTTTTCATCGGTGAAACCTCATTGGATCTTATCTTGTGCAAAACCATGGGGGACTATGGAGATGTTTACATGCGCAACAGAGATGCAGCTGTTCAAGCTCGCACTAAAGCACAAAATAGAGCAAATGTTTTGCAGCTAAAGCTGGTATTATTCACTTTGCTGTCTATATTTATGTGCCTTTACCTTCTCTGTCTAGATTTGTTTCAGCACCTGGATTTCCTTGTAGTTTTTGAATCCATGGATCTCTCTCTCTCTCTCTCTCTCTCTCTCTCTCTCTCTTTCTGTCTATTTTTTTTTCAATGTGTTAATCTGGTTTTCTGATCATGTTATACGTTGATGTAGAATGAACTTTCAGTTAATTTTGTATTTTTTATTTTTTTGGTTACAGATTGGGCAGAGTCATCCAACTGGGTTAACATCGAACCTTTTGAAGCTTTTTGAACCTAGACCTCCTTTGGAGTATAAGCCTCCTCCAGAGAAGAGAAAATGCCCACCTTATTCAGGTAACATTGTTAGTATGGTTACAGATTGTGGGCTGCCTAGACCACTTACTATTTTGTGTACTTTAAATATTTTAATATAAAGTTAGAAAAATTGTTATTATGAGGTTTGTCATTGATCATCACATTGTTTTTCTTAAATGATTAAAACTGCTCTCGTAACATGTCATTGATTTGATATTTCATTAAATTATGATATTTTGTTGAGTGTGTTCGTATTCAAGGTTTTCTTTTTTAATTATAAACACAGGGTGTTCCAAAATTTTAGTGTAGTTTCCTGATCATTAGGTTTGTTGTGTTCTCCATAATATGTGACGGGGAGTGCCAATGTAGAACAAATTGGATCACAATCTGCATATTTAATTTTATATTGATTTGACCTTATAGTTGACAGTATATGCAAATTAGGTGCATTGAATACAATTTATACTTGGTTACATATATGTATGTATGTATGCATGTATGTATGTTATACAGAGGATTTTTATGAGGGTAATGTCATGTATACAGTTTGATCATGTCTACTATCCAAAAAGCAAACAACTGAACCATTTTCGATTCATGGTTTTGCCACTTTGCATTTTGAGCTTCTTTATCCTGAGATCTATTACTGTGATGGATATATGGAGTTATACCGCAAGTTACTGTTTACATTGAAACTGAACCTTATATTACTTTCAATAACAAAGCTGAAACTAAATCTTTTATTGTGCTTTCTGAAGGAATGGCACAGTATGTGAGTAACTTTGCAGAGCCGGGTGACCCAGAATATGCACCGCCGGTTCAGAAGGCTGAAACTCCAGTAAGCTAACTATTGCCCTTATTTTTTATGTGTGTCAATGTGGTCAATTTGATGTCTTTTTTCTGTGTATCATTTTGATGTAACATTCATGTTTCCAGTATTTTGTCATGAGGGATGTCTCTTCTCATGCTTAATGCTTTCATTCTTTGTGGAAACTGATTTTACGGCGTGAGGAATTTTTTTTGCGATTATCAATGGTATTCAGTGACGCTCTGGGTGCAATAGTAGTTTTTTAGTAAGTGTTTGTAATAATTGCTTTCGAGATCTTGGACTTGTGTCCTCCTTCTACATAAGTGCACTTATTACTCAGTCTTGTGTACTGCACACCGTGTACAACACAAATATCTCAATGTGCACTATTCATGTGCAAAGTTTAGCAATGTTAGGAAAGAGGCTGGGGTCGTGGTGGTAGCATCCCCATACCTAGGTACCACATCGTGGTAGCATTCCTACTGCTGACACCCCCAATTAACACCTTCAAAATGTAACTTCCCAATCTATTGAAAAAACAAGTAGGGGCCTGTCTTCCCCACTGAATTACCCAAAAAAAAAAAAAAACTGTTTAGTAATGTTGCCTGCACTTATAACAAGTGTTGTGCACCCGCGCACTGTGCAATTTGCACTACGTTTCCCAAAACACTTTGGCAGGAAGCATTACATAAGTGCACTTTGTACTCAGTCTTGTGTACTGCGCACCGTGCACAGCACAAATCACTTAATTAGCACTATGCATGTGCAGAGTTTAGCAATGTTGCCCGCACTTATGACGAGCATTGCGCACCTACGTACTGTGCAATTTGCACTATCTTCCCCAAACACATGCATATGAAGCACTGCATAGGTTCATATAGTACTCAGTATTGTGTATTGCGCACCATGCACAACACAAATCACTCTATGTGCACAATTCATGTGCAAAGTGTAGCAATGTTGCCCGCACTTATGACGAGCGTTGTGCACCCGCGCATTGTACAATTTGCACAATGTTCCCCAAAACACATGCGCACGAAACACTACATAAGTGCACTTAGTACACAATATTGTGTGTTGTGCACCATGCACAACACAAATCAGTCAATGTGCACTATTCATGTGCAAAGTGTAGCAATGTTGCTTGCACTTTTGACGAGCATCGTGCATCCGTGCACCATGCAATTTGCGCCACGTTCCCCAAAAACATGTGCACGAAGCACTATATAAGTGCCCTTAGTACACAGTCTTGTGTAGTGTGCACGGTGCAAAACACAAATCACTCAATGTGCATTTGTCATGTGATCCATATGTGTCAAGATGTGATGCGGAAATCTAATATATTGCTGAAAATTTAAGTTTATTGAAAGGAAATTTGAATAAATAAGCAAAAGGAAGCCAAGAATGTCATGAAATTTGCGAAGGAGTTATATGTTTTGTGGAATATTTGTCCATTTATGACTCGAGTTTCTTGAACATATCAATGTGAATGCGTGCTAATTCACTAATACCAAGATAGTATTGAATTACTTACCTGTAGCATTAATAGTGTTAAAGATGTTTATTGATAAACAAAGAAGTCCTAGAGAAGCTCTTGTACTCAATATTTGATTTGACTTAGAAGAAAATCAGTTATGGAACCAATATTCAAAAAACGAATTTAAGTAATGAATGTGTCTCACTTTCTAAACACTCACCCCTTTAGTAAAACCCATATTCAATGGCATGAATGTACAATTGGCAGATTCAAGAACTCTATTGGGTTTTCTTTCAAGCCTTCTTGGACTCCAAGTGGTAGATGGGCACATGAAGAAGGGGGATTAGCCATGAACAGTGGCAAATATTATGGAAGTGATCCTCATGTTAAGAAAGAGAGATTGATGTAAACCTTAGATCAGCCACTCACATATGATTGTATCAATTGATTTTTATTATTCTGAGATCAGCCACTCACATAAAAACACTGTTGAAGGTGGAGGTATGCAAGAAAGGCGTCCTTTAGATAGAGTGCTCAAAGATATGTAAGAACCATACAAAATTGGGAATTTATTCCAGAAAAAACTATAAAAAAATTGGCGTTGATCCCCAATAAACCTGGAGGATTCAAGTATATAATACCCAAGCATGGGAACTCGGATACTAGATCATCCACGACAAGCCTATCATCCCCGACGAACTCATCAGCAGATTCAGCTCCCTCAGAGGTTGCTAGAACGGGTCGAAGACTCATGGCATGGATAAAAAGGTCGATATAGAATTTCATCAGTCAGGCGGGGCAAGGTATGGAAGGAAGACTTGAGATACATTTAGAAAGGGGGGCGGGGGAATCCTGAATATAAGGAATAGGCGATAAGCCCCTATTGCAGCCGACTATAGTTGCTATGGATGCTATGAAGGAACATCATTAGTGGCACCCTCTTTTACGAGAGCATTGGCTGTAGAACTTGCCTACCTCCAAATATGACTGAACACAACTTGAAGAGGCCTGCAAATATGAAAAAATATGGTAAAAACTGGGTTCCATGCTCCATGGATGGGGGGAATGTTTGGATGCCTAAAGGATCAAGTTCATAGAGTCTCCTTTGAGGATTAGGAGTGGAACCCCTAGGGGGTTGAATTTTTTGAGACCTTCATGCAAGGCCCTTGGCCATTTCCATGGCAATTGATGCCGAGGCTTCCTGAGAATAATGTTATGGTCTGGCTGTTTGAGTCACTGTATGGTCCTCCATAGCCCCCAAACACTGGATTTCTGAAGTAGCAACCGTCTGTGTTGAGCTTGACATAGCCAAGGTTCGATGATTGCAAAAGAAATGATCTAGGGATTGTCGGTGAATGGGACAGTCTGAACATTTTTCTGGTTTGTAGCAATTGGCATAACCTAGCTAATATGTCGATTAACATCAATTGATGTAACCTAATTGGTTTACATCCATGTTGGAATAGGAGTTGTGTTGAGCTAGGAGGGGAGCCCTGTGGCATTCTTTACTGAGAAATTGAGTGATGCCCATTCCTGTTACTTGACATATGATGTTGAATTATATGTAATTGTTCAAGCTCTTTAACACAAAAGGCCATATATGATTCATAGGAAGTTCATGTTGTATGCAGACCATGAGGCATTGAGATGCCTTAATTCTCAGCATACACTTCATGGTCGACATGTGAAATGGGTAATGTTCTTACAAGTATACACGCTTGCACTCAAGCACAAAGCCTGAGTTCACAATTAGGTGGGGGTGCCTTGAATCATCAGTCGCTCATCAACAATCATTCCTAAATTAGCATCTAGCAATTTCTAGCAACCGAGGTACTCTTATGCTTTAAGGTGTATCACAAGTACATAGCATCCAAAATCCAAAGTCAAAATACTAAATGTTCATGACATAAAATAAAGGTGATAATGAAGGGAATCAGAATCTTAGCTCTCAATCAGACATGTCGTATGATCCATTACGTTCATCTCCCGAACTATCATCATTTGTGTCATTGCCCCCTCGTCTACATATGCTTCTTCCTCCTCAGTTTTCCTCTAAGGCAGCCTCCTCCTTGACCTTTGGAGCGTATTTTATCCAACTCTCGTCCTTTGTGATCTGATGATAGGCCTTATGTCTTCTCTATACCTCATACTTTACTTGACATCCAACCAAAGAAGTTCCTCACCCTCAAACGCCCGCTCTGATTGTGGATCTGTGGTTTGTTCACTTGTGCTTTTCCCTAACAAGCTCTATAATGTCTTGTTTTAACCCTAAGTTGGATTATGTGCCTTGTCGAATGCTTCAATCAATTTGACCAAAACAGTCCCTAACGGACAATTGACCAATTAGCATATGTTCGGAACCTTCCATTAGACCATCTATTAAACATGATGGCTACCCCATGTTTCTCCCACCCTACTTCCTTGGAAGTCAAAATTTTCTTTACACATGCATTTCATCTTTCAAAAGGGGCTCCTAAAGCTCATGAAGTGAGAGAGGTTCGAGCCCAAGATCAATTCTTGAAGCTATCAAGGCACACAATATTGAATTGAATACCGCATTACTAAAACCACTTAGCAATAAACCTACAATTCTTAATCCTTTTTCCTTCTTGTATTTGTTTTCAAACATGGTTTTTTCTCCTCCTGTCTTCTACGATAACATCTGGCTTCAGGGTGCAAAATACATTGTATTGGCCCCCAAGGGTGAGGACTTTTTTGCCCAGCAGTACCATTTATAGCCCTCCCTTGTAATTGTTGCACACTTTGAACTTCATATATATTTTCTTCATCTTCATTATCAAATAACTGAACCTCTTCCAACATCTATTGTATTTTCTTTTCTTTTGTTGGCTATCTATATATGCCGTAATTTTCTAATCTCATTGTTTGCTTGAAGGTGCTAATACCGGCAAGATGTTTCTTTTGCTGGAAAAATATATCCATATAAGTTTCCCCAACCTAGAGTACAAAGAGCACATGATTTGGGCTTGAGCATGACTGGTAGTAGTTGACATCGAGTAATGCTACATCTCAAGTTTGATTCCTACCACCGAACTACACACCCCCCCAAAAAAAAAAACAAAAGTACAAAGAACATTAATTGAATTACCGGCAAGATATTTCTTTTGCGGGAAAATATCTCCATATAAGTTTCCCCAACCTAGAGTACAAAGAGCACAGGAATTGAGCTTGAGCATGAGTGGTAGTAGTTGACATTGAGCAATGCTACATCTCAAGTTTGATTCCTACCACTAAACTACCAGCCCCCCCAAAAAAAAGTACAAAGAACATAATTGATCCTTGGGATTGGGTTTTGAATATTTCTGTGCTGGATCTTTGTTGCTGGAAGATGGCAATGTTGTTATTAAAAAAAGAAGCATTCTGAATGAAGCTAACTTGAAGAACATGGAAATGTTACTAAAAAAAAGCATCATGAAATGAAACTAACTAAAAAAAGTTTATCTGTTTCAAACTTCCGATGCAAGACCCTATTCAATAGAAGATTTTGTTTTTGGGTTTTATCTCCTCGTCCCTTGAAACCATCTATTATTTG